AATGAAAGTGAAATATATGAAAACAAAAATCCTTTTAGCAACCCCAAATCATTCCTAAAAGTGGGAAGAATAGTGAAACATCATAAGTTAAAGTAGGAAACATTAAAATAGCAAGGCTGCAAGTGTTAAAATTTGTTATATACACAATATTCTTAATGATATCTCAAATTTATGTTCACCTTTCTTATTAAGGATATTTTCAATTAGAATCAATTTTTTTATAAGAAAATATCCTTTCTTATTAAGGATATTTTCTTAAAAGTAGCTAGACATTGAGCATTCGTTTTTTTTACGTAAAGATAGTTGAAATGAACTTTTCATTTGGATATAACTGAGTCATAAAAAAAATTCGCTTTTCATTGAAAAATATAGACTGAAAACATGTTTGGATAATTAGTAGAAAAATAAGATACTACAAACAAAATGTCATATAACGGGATTTTATACCAATAGTCAATTACCATGGGTATAGGAGACCTATACCTACAGTAGAATATGCATTACAAATCAGTGTTATAATCGACTAAATAAGTGATTTTTCGTTAGTATAACTAAAAATCAAAATCATTTTGGGGTTGTTTATTAACCGGCGTTTCAAGCCCAACACGCCGATATTATCAATACTTACAATGTAAAAAACATAACGTTTTTGCTCAACCCGCTAATATCCCAACATAGTCTTTATCCCGTGCACGGCACGGGTACAAATACTAGTATATCACAATTACGAGATGTAGGTAGAAATCCATAGCACAAACTTAACAAAGAAGTCTTGTACTCTTGTAAAAAATACTCAACAAAGAAGTAATTAAGTCACAATCAATACTAATCCTTACTATTTTGTGATTTAAGAAGTAATAAATTTAAGAAGAAAAGTTTTTAATTAATAAATATATAAATAAAAGTTCAATAAATACGATTGTTACTGCGTCCTTTGAGAATGTGAAGACCACGTGGTCATGCATGCGCCTGCTTAGTCCCCACTGCTTATTTATTACTCGTATTATTATTTTATTATTATATTATATGCATATACTAATCAAAAGGGAAGGTAGCTATCATGGAATTAATTGCCTGTGTGTTGATGTTTTAGCATTTCCTTAGATATCGCCGCTTTGCCCTCAAATAATTATTCTTTTAAAATCACTTTATTCAATACTTTTGTTCCAAAATAATCTTTGTTTTAAAAATCACTATTTTATTCAATACTTTAATTCCAAAATCTATAGGAAATAAATAAGTACTGTATAAGAGATTAGTGGCCGTTCAATCATAATTTCATAAATTTAAGAAGATTCTGTCAATTTTAATGTTACCAAATGAGCTGCATTTATTTCCTAATATATATATCTACATTTATACTTGATACATAGGAAAAACTAAACAATCTCGTTTGTTACTTGGGAATTACCATCATCACGAGGTTGCTTTGCTTTTTTCTTTTTATTTGCAATAGGGCACTAATGGACAAAAAGAGCCACTCCATTGGAAGAAAAATAATCAATAAAAATATAGAACCCATTTGGTAATACTAAAACCGGCTAAATGGCACCTAAAATCACCTAAAATCAAAGCCACCTAAAATCATATTCTAACTGAAGGAATGCCAAAATAATCCTAGGAGAGAGAGCAATTGGGCCGCTCACCATCTGGCCCAATTGCGGGTTGATAGAATGATCATTTACTCGAGCACGGGTCAACTTCCAACTTTTGTGAAACGTTTTTTTTTAAATAGCTTTTATTATTAAAATAAAGAAAAAAATATATGTAAAAAAAAGTTAAAATGGTCCTCTACAATAACTTCAATCAATATTGTCAGAAGAGTAACTCCAATTTTTTCCCCTTATTATTACACAATTCAGCGTGTGAAATCAAAAGCTACGTGTTTGGTAAAAAAGACTGACCGATGAGCCTGATAAGTAAAAAAAAATATGGTTACCAATAGGGCTCATAATTTTCTTAATAAGAAACCAAACTGAACAAGTTGTGGATAACCATTATGTATAGTTAGTAGGGGTGGGATCGGGATGATCCCGATCCTGATTCAAACTACAAGAGGATCCCGTATCCCGTCCCGATTAAGTCGGGATCCCGACATTAAAATCCCGGTTAAGTTGGGATCCCGATCGGGAATCCTGCTAAATCTCGACAATGAAGTATCAAACATAAAATTATGTAATTTCTTTAGTGAAACACTAACTTTGATATTTAATGGTTTTAAGATTATTCTTTGTTCATTGTTATACCATATTTATCATCATCTACTTATAAAATTTATTGTAATAATTATCATCACAAATTCACACTAGTACATACTTTTAGAATAATTTTTATTTGTAACTTCAATTAATTAATAGTATAATTTTTGAATAAGCTATCAAGGCTTAGTGAAACTTACTTCAAACATTATATAAAAATCACTAATAGAAGGATGTGTAACGTATATTATTTCAAATTCAAAACTAAGTAGACTCATTTAGAAACTTTGTGACCAACGAATATAGTGTATAAATACATATTATGATTAGTTAGGATCCCGAATATTGTTGTGATTTAGATTGTCGGGATCAAGAATAATCTCTATTTAGTTAGGATCCCGAATATTCATTTTGGGACAAATGCCAAACAGTTTTAGAAGTTTGATATTGTAAGATACTCGTAGTAAAATATTAATCTATGTAAGGAATAAGTAATTAAAAAACATATGAAATTATTTAGATACATATTCATTTTTTATATATTCATATATAATTCTATACATGTGTGTGTGTGTATATATATATAATGTCGGGATGTCGGGATTTTCCCGATTCCGACTTTTTTTTAAAGAAAATCCCGATCCCGTCCCGACTTAGTCAGGATCGGGAAAAATTCCCGACTAGTCGGGATCGGGATTATCGGGATCGGAATTGTCGGGATCGGGATCGGGAGTCGGGAGTCGGGAGTCAGGAGTTTTTCCCCAGCCCTAATAGTTACATCTACTTTTATAATTTATTTATACTCCTAATTGATACAAAGGGAAAACTTAACATAAAAAACTTTAGTAAAAATAAAGACATGTATAGTTATCATAAAGAAGCAAAATTTAGTACAAGTTGGATTCTAAAAGATGAAATTAATAGGGTAGAGCGAGTTGAGTCCCATCAAAGCACAAGAAAGGAAATAGGAAATTGCTGTTAGCAAAACAGTGTGGAATCCGTGGCTAAAAAGCTGCAATTCAAATCTTATAACTGAGTTAATAGATACGCACAATATTTGTCACTGGGTTTTGTTCATTGACGAGATGAGTTTTGACAACAAGATGCTCCCGACAATTCACACCCCTTCCTATTTTCCTTTTATCATAATGAATGAATGTGATTAGACTATGCTTATTAATACGCAAAAAATAAAAACAAATCAAACATTTGCAAAAGGTAGTCATTAGTCAAACATATGCAATTTTCAAACAAAATTAATTGTTATTTATACGGAGTAAGAAACTAGTTTAAATACGAGGATAACAAGTACTTCCTCAATCTTAGTTTAAAAGTTGAAAAAAATGATTTTGAGACCAAAATATGACTAATTATTATGTACGAGTAACAGGCAAAGTCACTATAATTTATTTCTGAGTGACAAATCACCGGTAGATTATGAATCACTGGAAGCTAGTCACTTAATATATACTTCTTCCGTCCCATTTTACCTGTCCTATTTTTCTTTTTGGGTTGTCCCAAAATGAGTGTCTCCTTTTTCTTTTTGGAAAGAAATATGTGGTCTACACCATTTCACTTTATTATACTCAAATCTCAACCACAACTTTTATCTTTTCAACCATTTCATTAAGAACAGTGTCGTGTCAAACTGAGACACATTTGACACTCGTAAGAATGGGACGGAGGTAGTAATTTTTTGGAAACTCGTAAGAATCTTTTTTCTTTTGAATTAATTTAGTAAATTCATGGGAAAAGGTCTTTAAAGTTCTCATTTGCCTTTAAAAGACATCCCACTTAAATAATTTTAGAAAATAATTAACACTCTTAAATGACAAAATAATAATTTAATATTGAAGTCTTTTTTACGTATTATATGAATTAATTTGTTTTAGTTTATGGTATTTTATTTCTTTATTTTGAATTTACCAAAAAATATATAAATATTTCGTATTTATATTTATATTTTCGACTTATTTTTTATTATAATTTTTCTTCTTCCATTTTTCATTTTTATTTCTATTTTTCACGTTAAGAGTTGAGGGGGTGAATTAAACGATTTAATCACGTTAAGGGGCTTATTTGATCACTTAAATTGTCACGTTACATGCACAGTTGGAACCCTACCGGGTGATGTGGCGGTGACCGGATTGTGAGATGCAAAAAGTGAAATTTGAATCTTTTCATCGAGTTAAGGATGTCAATTAGAGCTTTTTGAGTTCGAGGGGCAAATTGAGAATCCAGAAGGGTATAAGGACATATTTGACCGTTTAACCAAATTATTAAATCAATCGAACTTCTAATTCATGTGGTTGAATTTTGATACAGATCTCCAAAAAAATCAAGAGGCCGTTTGGTAGCATTGTTTTTTGGCTTATCAAGTTTATCAGCCAACTTTTTCATCAAACACGTAACTTTTGTTTTCGCGCGCTGAATTGTGTAATAATAATAACAAAAAAGTAAGATTGAAGTTGCTTTTGTGGCCGTATTGATTGAAATTAATGTACATGACCATTTTAGCTATTTTTATATACAATTTTTTCATTATTTTATTAATAAAACATATTTCAAAATTATTTTTTTCTTAAATCAGTCGAATATTTCAATGCAACCACTTAGTGAAAACTTCATAAATTTTAGTAGAATTAGGGGGTGTTTGGATCTGATTCTTAAAACTGCTTCTGCTCCTTCAGGGACCAAAAGCAGAAGCTAGAGTGTTTGGGTGAAAGTGCAGAAGTGATTTTGATTTCAATTTTGCTTATAGAATCATTTTTTTAAAGTTGGGGGTGGTTCTGAAAAGGGATTGTGATTCTACTCCTACTTCAGAAGTGATTCTAACTTAAGTTCCAAACACCCATTAGTCGAATAAGAGATCGAACACGCATTAGTCGAATGCTCCAACATCACAACCCCGAAGTCTCTCTTCCCACTCTCTCTCTGTTTGGTTTTGCTGGGCTCCGCCGCCTCGTCCTTTTGCTTCCACCTATGTGAGTTAGGTGGTTGCTTTAATGACGACTTTATGAGTTATTCATTCATAATTACGGAGTAGCTGTTTTCCTGTGTTGAACCACAGGTTGTTGTTGAGGCTCCAATTCTATTCTTATCTTTCAAAATTTCAGCCTTCTGTTCTTAAAGGGAGAAAAAGGGAGCGTTTGTTTGTATTCTTGTCCTACAAATCTGGAAATTCTTTCTTTTGCTAATTCCTAAAAGTTGGAAACTTTGCTTGGAATTGGCGGTTCTTCAAAGCCTGGCTGTAGAGAGTTGGATACATACTCTTATTCCACTGATTCTTTTCAAGTTTGATTTCTCCCTGCACCAGGTAAATATTTCTTTCTTTGAATTCTTTCTCCCTGCATAAAGGTTCTTCTTCTTTTTTTTTTAAATCCCGGTAGGCATAAAGGTTCTTCTTTTAAACGTGTTGTTGACATGCTTTTGCCTGTTTAGCTTCTTTCACCTGACCCTTTTCCTGTGTAGCTTCTTTGATGGATAAAAGTATAAAACCTTGATTATCTGAGGGGGTGTTTGGATCTGATTCTTCAAACTGCTTCTGCTCCTTCAGAAGCATAAGCTGGAGTGTTTGGCTAAAAGAGCAGAAGTGATTCTGGTGCTCTATTTTACTCACAGAATCAGTTTTTTAGAAGTTGGGGTGATCAGCTTTTGAAAAACTGATTCTTATTCTGATTCTTCTATAACTGCTTCTTCCTTAAAAAAGAACAGAAGCAGAATCAATTCCAAACACCCCTTAATCATAATCATAAAACTTGACCTTCTGAGCATGTCTGTCTTTTAACATTTGAATGGAAAACCTCATAAGCTATATTCTTATGAGAATCTTTCTTTTAACAAATAGTTGGATTGCTTAGTGTTAAATATTTCTTTATGATATCAAGTTTTGCCTCTTTTAAAACGAATAAAATGAATTGTGTTAACTATGGTAGTCAACTAGGGGGTTTTGTGTACAATTTGTACAAGTCATGTACACTAAGAATTTTCCTTATATAATAATAGAAATAAATAAAGGAAGTGAATTTGAAGATAGAAATTAATAAAGGAAGTGATTTTGAAGTAGTATATTTCAAAATGATGTTTTCCTACCAATTTCCCTTTATGTTTTTCTTCATAATTCTTCCCCTAGAAGAATTATGGAGAAAACAATGGGCTTATGTGTCTTTAGTTGAGGGTTAAAGTGGGAAACTTTTACCTCGGCATATCACCTATCAGTGCTATGTAAAACAGATTACATGGGGGCTTTGATTATTTATTACCATTCAACTGTCCAAGTAGAATAAAAAAGTGAATGTTTGTCATTTTTGTGAATATTCTGGCAGTTGGCTATAAGTTGTTGTCAGGATCACTGAATCACGACCCCTTACCTATCTCTATGGGAAGTGATACCACTGAAGCTGCGGATGCACCCCCATCTCCTCAATCCATTAAGGTATTGAATTTATGGAATAATAATAATCACTCTTCCCTCTTCCCACTGAAATGAAAACTTTTATAAGTTTTCACTCTTCCCCGTTTGGTAGCTGTATTGTTGGGCTTATGGGTTTTATCCTCATTATTATTATTTTTATTATTATCAAACACTAACTTTATTTGATTATCATTGACTCATTTTAGCTGATATTAGAAAAATTATCAAGAGGCTATTTTTTTTTTTGGATCAAATAGAGTCAAATGCACTTTTATCCTTAACTTTTAAAAATATTACTACGTAGTTTTTAAGTTATGAATGCATGGCCAAATATTCAGCCACAACACATAGCAAATTCTGACCACCCGACTATATTAGCTTAAATTTATTATCCCCAAACAGTCCCTTAATTTATGTGATAGGATGATATTGCCTCTTCACAAACTAAGCACATCTTTCAGCCCATAACCCTTCCCAAATGGGCCCTGAAAATGGTATGCAAAGAAAATAGTCAAAGACACTACTTATTCATATGTGTAAGACTGTAAGATATTGTTCGAAAAATCATCCCTTATAAATATATATTTATTGTATAAATGAACACTTTTAGCCGTTCAGTCACACCCTCAGCAGAAGCAAAGCCTGACTATGCTCACCAAACAGATTCTTAAACTTTAATCCACATGGAATTTTGATTTGTCTTTCTTGAAATCTTTCCATTTTCTCCCTTCCAAGTAATTGATTAACATCCACCCCTCTTGTTAATATGGAGTACAGGTGCATCTTCAAATGTGCACTGAGCTTATAAAGTTTGTAAGTAGAGCCTCAAAAATACTTCCAGAAATAGAAGCATCCCGACCGCGATGCAGTTCTGGATTAGAGTCGCTTTGCATATTCAACAATGCTATTGTCAAGGCCAAGTCGATACTTCAGTATTGCAGTGAATCCAGTAAGCTCTATCTGGTATGTATTCATTTAGCATGTTGCTTAGTTAAGCTATGCAGTTACACTTTATGTATTTCATTTTTTAGCATTGTTAGAATGAGTAAAAAATATTATTTTATTTACTTATGAGGTTTTATCCTTTTATTTAAAGAAGGTTTACTTTACCCTTGTGGTTTACTCTTTGGATTTTAATATATCGAGCTGGTATAGAACTTTTTTCTCATTCAAACACTACATTGTTTCCAAAAGGCTCTACCAAACAAGGGAAAAAATAGTGTATTTATGAATTAAAAGCACTTTTTTTTCCGTGATGGGTAAAAACACTTCTTTCAATGTATTTCTTTCAACAAAAGCACTTAATTGTTGAAAACAAGTCATCCCAAATGCACCCTTATTTTGCGACCTTCCATCTCAAGTGGAAACAACATTACGAATTTTCTGTAAGTCTGTAACTATGGAAGATGACACATTTTTTGGTCCTGTGATCAATAAAGTCATTCTTGTGAATCTTGTCTTGTGATTGACTGATTGTGCCTTTACTTATGATTCTCCATGTGCGAAACCACATGTTTATAGTTATTACATCTTTTGATAGTCAAATGATATTAATGTTTTCTAACTACCACATTTGCAGGCTCTAACAGGAGATGCCATCCTCTCAAGATGCAAAAAGTCAACAAAGTTGTTGGAGCAAAGCTTAAGCGAGATGCAATATATGGTTCCCGTTATGCTGGCTGCAGAGGTAAAAGAATGAAAGAAAGATCTTTTTATTGTTTTTTAATAACCAAACTATTTATGGTGTATCCCACACAATGGGAAATGACATGCAAATTAAAGACATAGTTTTTTCAAAAATGACCTGGATAGATCAGTTTTTCTTTCAAATGAAAGCTGACCAAAAAGAAAACATTATTTATTGAGATGAATAACAAATAATTATTTACCTAAACTATGTAACCTGAAATACGTAAAATGTTGAAGTATTAGTTCCACATCAGTGAAATATAAAATAATAAATTAACATATAAAATCATGGGGTTATACTGCCTATCGTGTTAACCCTCTTATCCTAGTGCAATTGTGGTTTGTTTGGTATCCATTTTTTGAAGTAGCCCGTTCGGACCCGGTTGGGCATTCATCTCTTATCTCTAAAATATAAATAATAGACTAACATATACTCCGTAAGATCTCTTAGGGCGGAAACCCGAATCTTAATTCAAAAAGGCGTTATATTTGGCTAACCATAACTATTAAAATATGCATGCAGATCTCTCAATTAGTTGCTGATCTAAGAGAAGCAAGATTTAGCTTGGAGCCTTCTGAAGAGGAGGCCGGGAATGTTCTCAAAGATTTACTTCATGAATACATGTATGAATCTGGCCCCACCACAGACAACACACTAAAATCGATCCGAGTTGCAATGTTAATGCTTAACATAACCACCCCGAAAGCTCTTCTCATTGAAAAAAGATCCATCAGATCACTTCTGGACCAAGCCAATGATTCCGAACAGTCAAAGAAGAAGATTCTCTTCTTCTTTCTAAACCTTCTCAACAAATACGCAAAAAGAATCCTTAAAGATAAATCAGATTATGACTCTGTACCAAAACATGAAGATCCTTTACCCACATCAAATGAGGAACCTCCTGATGAATTGAGATGTCCTATATTGTCAAGATTAATGTACGATCCTGTCGTGATTGCTTCTGGAGAGACATATGAGAGGATGTGGATACAAAGATGGTTTGATGAAGGTCATGCCACCTGTCCAAAGACCGGAAAGACATTGTCCCACTTTTCGTTGACCCCCAATAACTCTATGAAGGATTTGATATCAAAATGGTGTGCCAAAAGTGGGGTCGCCCCTTCTAAGCCTAATATGCGGGCCGTGCGACCACACACGTGGGAAATCTCATCCGTTTCAATAGATAGCTTTGGAAGTTCAATGAATGATCTTAGGCTTCCAAGCGATTTTACCAATTCGTCCCTTGGCTCTTCGGATTCCTTGAGTCCTAAGAGCCCACCCAAGTATGCCAATGTGATTTCCCCAGTCTGTCCCTTGGAGTCATTGTACGGTTTGGAATTGCTTTCCTGGGAATCTCAAAGCGTCGTGGTTGAAAATGTTGGGGAAGTTTTGAAACATGAGGATGCTGATCAAGGTTTGAAGAAGAGGACATGTTATGAGAAGTTTGTTGGACCGCTGATGGGGTTCTTGAACAGTGCACATGAGTCACAGGATGGGAAGGCCCAGATTTTGGGTTGTCGGTTGCTGTCAACGTTCCTAAAGAAATTCAGGTAGCCTATTTACTTTACTCTTTCATTATCTCGCTAGAGTGAATTTGTTTTATAATATGTTACCCCCCTGTCCCACTATGTTAGATGATCTTTCTTTGTTGATTCAAAAAATTTAAACAATTTCCTAAATAGAACTCTTGCAGTTATATGCTTTTCTAAATTTACACTTTTATTATCATTTCACATTTTGGCCTTTTACTCTTTGGGGATCCATACCACATCTTCTTCATTAGAAAAGGTATACTGAATGAATTTTTCAGTATATGCTGTTTCCGGTATACTGAATGAATTTTTCTTTGCTTATTGCAGTAGTAGTGCCACCCGGTGCTTGGATGACAATGCATATGAACTGTTGGCTTCATTTCTTACAACAGATGCCTCCAGGGAAGCTCTCTCCATCTTAGAAACACTATCCTCTTATAACCACTGCCAGTACAAGATTGCGGCTTCCTGTGCACTTGGCCTCATTGACATGTTAAACTCCGAAAACAGAGATTTATTGGAGACCTCATTTAAAATCATTTACAACTTATCCGGAAACGACAACATCCGCCCATTATTTGAAACCTCAAAGTTAATCCAGGGACTGGTACCACTCTTCCAAGACACATACTTGGCGAGACAATCTCTTAGCATCTTGAAAAACTTATGCAGCAGTGAAGACGCGAGACTTTATGTTGCCAAAACTGACGGGTGTTTCGCTTCTGTTGTGAAGGTGTTAGAGAGTGATGATGCAGAGGACCAAGAACACGCTTTGGCGGTCCTTCTTTCTTTGTGCTCTCAGAGATCTCAATATCGTGAATTGGTTATGTCTGAAGGTGGTATTCCTGATCTTTTCTCTATATCCATCAATGGGAGTACCAAAGGGAAGATGATGGCTTCGGAATTACTAAGGATCTTGAGAGATGAATTCCAAGAGGCTGCTGGAGAGACTACCCCACCCGATATTGATGTCGTTATATATGGTGGCAATGATTCTACGGAGAGAGGGAGAAAATTGCCAGCCAAGGGGAGGGGTATTCTAGGAAAATTGTTCTACAAAATCAGCCCTGCTATGAAAAGGAAAAAATAAAAAAGTGGGATCCTTTGTTATTAACACCTACTAACCTGTGTCACTTCGTGAAGAAAATAGGTCATTGTGATATCAAGAACCCATTTTCTTCACGAAGTGACTGAAAATAAGTTGGACATGTGATTAACGATTGGGCGCTACAAATCCCATGGAATGAAAATATGTCATATTGCATGGAGAACAGGTCATTGTTTCACAAATATCTGTGAGGTGTATTCTTCTCTAAAGTGCCGGGATCCAGTTCTTGACTAGCATTTGTCGGGACTAACATGTAAGGATGCAAGGCCGCGTTCGGTGGCTCAAGCAATCCTCATGCAATCCTCGCTAATGTATTGTCTGTGGTAGAGAGTCGGATATGATGGTAGTACTAATTTAAAGAGTAGCCCATGTTGGTATCTTAATATATCAAATATCAATATACAGTTTTGCCTAAGAAGATGGTCTGGTTTGGTTCATAGATAATATTCTGTTGTAACATTAGGATTAGATGAGAATATTGAATACATTGTAATCTTTGTGTATATGTAAAATCTTTGTAGAGTTTGTTGATTGTGTACTTCTGTTTCTTTTCCCTACATATGTTAATTCGTAGGGACTTGATGTAATCAACTATCATAAACACATAGGATTGTATAAATTGTACATAAAATAAACAATCAAATGTTATAAGTGACGCCTATGGGTGGACTCGGGCTGGTTCGGGCCCGGGTCCGGGCCTAGGCCCGGTCGGGCCTCCGGTTCAGGAATGGGGGGCCCGGAACCGGCCCGGGTAATCCCTGGTTCCGGGTCGGGCCATGCCTTAGTTATTATTTTTCTCTCTCTCTTTTCCTAGTTAACCCCCAACCCTCCCCAACCACCCCAAATGGCCCAAAATACCCAGCCCAACCCAAAAAGTAAAAAAAATTGAAAAAGAAAAAATTAAAAAGGCCCGGAACCAGGCCCGAACCGGTCGGGCAGGTTCGTGATTTGGGGGGCCCGAGCCCGGAACGGACCCCCAGCGGGTCGAGTCTACCCGGACTGGTCACTGATCGGGCCATCTGGCCGGGCTGGGCCGGAACAGTGCCGGGCCAGGCCGGTTTCGAGTCGGGCCACCCGGCTCGAGTCCATCCCTAGTGACGTCTAATGCTCCGCAATACTCCTTTGCGCTACATTAAAAATAACCATTGATAAATTATATGAGAATGAGTGTAGGAGATAATTTAGTGTGGTTGTTTGAAAGTCCGTATTTAGACACGCATTTGATGCGTGTCGGCATCGGCTTTTGATGGTTTTCCAAACTTGCAAGTCTTAATTTTAGCTCAAGTTATGTTTACCAGACATTGGTTCAAGTTTTGTGTCATTTGGAGTCAAAATCAGGAATTTAGAGTTCGGCACCGGCGCTTGAGGAGCAATAGGGATGATTCGAGATGCATTTGAGAGTGGATTGAGAGCTTTGGAGGTCACCGAGAGGTTTACGATGAAGATTTGATGACAAAAGAGCTCTAGGATTGGCTATGAGATCAAACGAAGATGAATGGAGCTTGAAAACGACGATCAGGATGACCTGTCAATCGTTCAAGCATATCTCTTTGTAGAAGCATCCAATGTACACGATTCAAATCCCATATGAAAGCCAACTTCAAGGGCTACAAATCATATGAAGACACTATTTCGAGAATATGAAAGGAAGAAGGTGAAAACAGACGATGCAGTCAGATGATCTCTGTTGCGATTTCAGAATGACACCTTACACCATTTATTCATATCTCTTGATTGAATGATTCAAATCCAATTCTGCAAGTTGGCGTGGATAGATAACTTCATTATCTACAACTTTCATGAGGGAGGTTTTGTCAAATTCGGAAGTTTGACGCACGCCGTGCGTAGGGGAACGCACGATCGTGCGTCTGAGGCGAGAAAGCAAGGAGGCTACTGCCAACCACGCACGATCGTGCGTGGCAGGGGACGCACGATCGTGCGTACGTCCGAAACGCGGAGAAATGCAGATTTTGACAACTTTTTAGTCCCAGTTCAGCCCAAACTCATCTGTTTTCTATAAATAAGGCCTCCTTTCTCCTGTTTAAGTGTTACGAACATTACGGAGAGGCCTGGGGACGAATTTACTTGCGTTTTTATCATTGTTTACTCCAAGACCCTGAGATTATTTGTAAGTTCACCTTTTTAATTAATGACAATTAATTCTATTCATCCCAATTCTGTTGATTCTTCAATTATGAATTGTGAGTAGTTTAATTAGGGATATGGGGTTGATAAAGGGGTTGATCATGATGTATGGCTAGATTCTTGACGGATTAATTGCATGAGTTCCATTTAATTTGTGTTTGAATAATTTAACTGATATCTTTTGTAACCTGGAACCGCGGCTCGAATTACAATTGCTTATAGAATAAATTAAGAGAGATCTAATTTATTCTAGGACACATTCACACACACTTAATCGTTCACTAAGAGATTAGTAGTGATTAGGGGGCCATAAGCTTGCTCGTGTTGACAATAATTTAGGATCTTGTCGCATGAGAGATCAGCCTGGTTCCCTAAATTATTGTACTCTACGCCGCGAGAGCGGTAAGAACTTAGTAATGATTAGCTAGACTCAATTAAATTAATTTCATGTAATTAAGCCTGATCTGCCAGAAATCTGGTTATCCCGGAATCAATCTCTATTCTCTTCGTCGTTTATTAGAGAGAAACCAATCTTTCATTTTAATAGCTCTTTCGCATTATTTTAATTTCAATTCAACCTACCAATCTCGCACGACCACTAGTGGAAAAACGTCAAATAGAGGCGCTTCATTTGAGGCGCTTTTTAGCACAAACGCCTCTGTTAGCCAAATGTATTCATTTTTTTATTTTTTTTGAATGTGTGCGGCGTTTTTGGGTGAAAAACGCCTCCATTTTGTTTCTGAAACAATTTTTTTTAAAAAAAAATAATGTACTGTGCGGCGCTTTCTTCTAACAAGCGCCTCCATTTTGATTCCCGATTTGTGTTTTTACATGCGTGCGGCGTTTAAGTCGGAAGCGCCGTTGTTTTTTAAAAAATTAAATCAAGCGTGCGGCGCTTTATGAAAAGCAAGCGCCTCCTCCAACTCTAACCCTAAGTCGCCCCTACACGTCAATTTCGATCGAGAGGACCAGCGGACCGACCAAGGCTATCTCACGCGTCGATTGAGCAGCCGCGCATACCAGCTAGAGGACCAAATCTTCACCGTCGCAAGCTGCTCCATTGCTGCCTCCGTACAATAGCCGTCGTCTTCTTCCTCTCAGGCGCTGCAAATCTTCACCGTCGACTTGACTTCTCCGGCCCTGCTCTCTCGCCGTCGACTGGTCGCTGCCGTCGTCTCCAGCCCGCCGTGGACTGCTCCGGCTCGCCGTGGACTGCTCCGGCCGCATCACATAGACAAAGGTCAATTACGTTTAGGTATATTTTAGTTGATTTCACTTTTATTTAATTTTCTTTTGAATGTTTTCGGATTAAAGTATATTTCCAATGATATCCATTGTTTTCATGTTTAGGCTTCCTTAGTTTTTAATCGAGTGGGAATTACATTTGACATTGATAAAGGTGAGTTTATTTGTTCATTTCTTTTGGCATATATATTTGATTTTTCATTTTTATTTGATTTTATTTGATTTTTTTGGACTGCTCCAGCTAACAGTTAATTGTAATTTATTAACTGTTTATTTGACATGGATATCAGTGTATTTTATTTGATGATAGTATGTGTAATTATTAATTGTATTATGGCATTATTGTGTATATCTTTTTTGTTTTTTTAATGTGAAATGAAAAAGAGATGAAAATGTGACCTGCACGCTTATCCGATTAGAAAAAGAGAGAATCCCAAAAAGTAGAAGGTGGGGGGTTTGTTTCCAATATGAATTCATTATCTTTGATTACAGGCAATGTGGTATGGGAATAAGAACTGGTGCGGGAAAAATTTCCCAAATTAGGTATATCTGTTGCTGTCGGTTGTTTGTACAATTCTGCTCTTACATCTATCTAAATTCTAATATGTTAATGTCTTTGTTTCTTGCGTCCATGCATTAGTTGCAGTTAATCATCTGGATTACCTGGGAGTACAAGTGGCATGGGTAACAGCCAACAGGGCCATGGTTCCTCTCTATATTCATGAACATGCTTCCTTGGGAAAGTGGTCTGGTTCATTCTCCATTAGCTAATCGTTAATTGATTATCTAAATCTATGATGCTTTCTATATAATTGTGAAAGATAAACTACGAAGTTGATATTTCAAAGTTTCATCTCATTATTCATTCATAAGTGTTAGGACCCAATGCTTCTCAAATGTTTGTTGAGAATCCATTTAAAGTAGTCTGCATATCTTTAAGTTTCTGTGCATGATTTTCCAGCTATGTAATTATGTCCATCACTTGTAGATTGCTAATCTAAAGTCATGTCTTTGATGTTTTTATTGGATTTAGTTCTCCGGGTCTGGGATGTGCTTCTATTTGAAGGAAATCGTGTGATGTTATTTCGGACAACATTGGCATTGATTGATCTCTATGGTAATATTCTTGGCAGTAAGCATTGGTTGAATTTCTTGGTTGATCTCTATGCTTTCAAACAACAGAAAGCAGTAAGTTATGTTTTTGGGAGGTTTCTTGCCATGCATGAATAGGAAGCAATGACCTCTTATGGTCACACAGATATATGTGATTAATCTTAAAAGGAAAGATGCTACTCTTTAACTTACTGCTTTCTGTTGTTTGAAACATAGTTTGTATGAACTGTTCTTTTTGCAGGTGGTATGGTTAAAGGTTGAACTGTGCAAGTTGCTTGAAGAAAAAAGATCTGCTGAACTAAGGTAATATCATCTTAGAGCAGTCTCCTTTTACTTCTGATTCCTACCAAAGTGATGTATATCCAACTTAACATTTGTTTAGGCCATTCCCTTACCCTATATATCTAAAGTTATGGCTTTGTAATTTCTAGTAGTGATTCTGAGTAAATGCAGAGTAAATGGTCACTAAAAAGAGATTAGTATTCTGCTGATGCTTTCAAAATTTTGTACTGTCTTGAGAAAGAAGTGGAATCATATTGGATGGAAAGCTCATGGTTTATGCTGCATTTATATAGTTATTCGGTGCATTTATGTGTTACACTTTTACAGCAAATCTGGCTTTCCTGTCTACAACCTAAAGTAGAGAATTGCTTTAACGTTGATTATAGCAAATCTGGTTATTGCTATAATCAACTAATTCTTAGAATCTGTGTTAATCTGATGAGGGGATTGAAGTAGGGAACTTAATATTTCTTATACTTCAATAGGTGGATTTCATTAAATCATATAACTTATATATAATTTAGCTTCTCATTATTTATTTTGTCTATATTTGTATGATTATTTTCAGGTTTGGAATGCAAGAATTGAGCCATATACAACGGAGGAGTTTGATGACATTAGAAAAGTATGGGCTAAGTTTTTTGTAGATGAAGTGTTATGAAGTGTTATGACTATGTAGAATTGTGAAAATTAAGCAAACATGAATGTAATTTATTTCTATTGTGATGCAAATTTGTACCTTTTGAATTGAATTTGTACGAAACAATTCTATCGTTATTCTGGTTTTATGAATGAATGTGTTGTTTTGGTTTATAATTGATCTGTAAATAGAACAGGTTATATAGTAATTTAAATAAAATTATACGGAGTAAAAAATAATATTAACAATTGGAGGCACTTTTTATGACAAAAGCGCCTCTAAATAAGTTTACGGAGCAGATTTTGGAGGCGTTTTTGTGGCTAGAAGCGCCTCTAAATCAGTTTACGTAGCAGAGTTTGGAGGCGCTTTTTTCGTCAGAAGCGCCTCTAAATAGCGATATAAATTCAAAAAAAGAACATTAGAGGCGTTTCTAAAATAAAAAACGCCTCTATTTAAGTCGTGCGTGCGGCGCTTTTTCTGACCGAAGCGCCGCAAAATTTCTAATTTTTTTTTTTTTAAAAAAAATTAGAGGCGCTTCCAGTCTGAAAAGTGCCTCCAATTTAGATTTGCGACACATTATTTAGAGGCGCTTCGAAGCGCCGCGCGTGGGCAATTTCAAGCGCCTCTGATTGGCGTTTTTGCACTAGTGGACGCATTTATTTTATTTATTTCTTTTTAATCGTTGAATTTAGTTAATCTTTAATTCACATTTGTCCGTCCATGTGGAGACGATACTCGTACTTACACCACTATATTACGATCTATTTTAAGTGCGAGAAAACTCACATCATTGTTTTTGTAGAATAAACGGAGAACAAATATGAATATATATTATTTGCAAAAGTAGATGTAATAGCAAAGTGTAAGACATAAAAAACTAAAAAATAGATTATTTGGTGTGAATGAGAATTGTTGAGTTTGAATATCATTTGAAAGTTTTGAGGTTATAATAAGTCTGAACTCTGAAAGGTGTGGAGTGTGGACCATAAAAATCATATTACGTACAAATTAACTACTGTCGTTTATATATATTACTAGTTATTATGACGCGCGTTGCGCGATACGAAATGCCCAATGTTCTTATGTAACATGAATATTAAGATAAAATTGTGTGATGCGTTGTTTCATGAAAAATTGGATACACCGATTAAATAATTTTATTTGAACCTAGGTTAGTTTTGTTTTTTGAGTTTTTTTTTTTTAAATTAAGAGTGTCAGGGTCATTTTATAATAAAAACTTATAAAATGGAAGTCAAATAGTGCAAAACAATTTGCACCCCCCGCCCCCCCACCCATTTGTTTTTTGAGTTTTTCCTAAAATATGACTAAGAAAAAAGTCATGGACAAAAATGTGACTTAGTAACTTTAGTGATTATAATTGTGTTCAATGTTTCTATCTATCGTAATTAATCACTATACCGTAGTAACTTTGAACACAATTATAGTCACTAAAAGTTACCAAGTAACATTTTTGTCCGCTACTTTTCAAAGAGTAATATTAGTGGGATTTTTTCTTTTTTTAATCAACCTAGGCTAGTTAAGAATTGGACCATCATTAATAATGCAAAGTTAATA